TCTCTATGTCTCTAATCATCCCCTAAACCCTAAACCCTAAACCCCAAAGGTTTGCGCTGAGCCCGAACCCTCAAAGCACTTTAAAAAAACTGCGACCTTCGATCCCATACCCAAAAAGCAACTGCAGAGGCCCAGAAAACTCTGAAGCCATTCTTTGAGTCTTGGTAGCCCAGTAACCATATGATGCTAAACCCTAAACCCTAAACCCTAAACCCTAATGGTAACCCTAAACCCTAAACCCTAACTCGCTTGAGAAACGGAACTTACCGGTCAACTTCGCTGCGGCTTCCGAGCAACATCTTAGAGCTTGATGTTGCGCGCAATGCCGGCATGTCCCCAGGGTTTAGGGTTTTGGTCTAGGGTTCCTGGAAACTCTGAAGCCTAAACCCTCGACCGCTTTTGCATCTGGGTCTAGGGATTGGGGGTTTAGAGCACCCTAAACCCTAAACCCTAAGCCCTAAACCCTAAACCATCAGAAGCGCTGGGCCTGGATCTCGTCCGAGCTCCACGCCGAGGCAGCCTCGCAACTGACGGAAGGGGTTTAGGGTTTAGGGTTTAGGAGTTTAGGGGTCTAGGGGTCTAGGGGTTTATGGGTTTAGGGTTTAAGGGTCTAGGGGTCTAGGGGTTTATGGGTTTAGGATTTGGGGTTTTGGCTTCAGGGGTTAGAATCTAAGGTCGGGTGCAAGGGTTTAGCAGTTTAAGGTTTAGGGCTGGTCTAGGGGTCTTCCCGGGCTCTGGGGTTCAGGGTTCAGGGTTTAGGGTGGCTTTGGGTTTAGGGAAGGTTTAGGTTGCGAAGGCAGCGATCAGGGGGTTGCTAAGTTCGAACACCCTCAAGATTCTACTATAGGGGCCTGAACAACGTAGAACAGGTTTTTTTTTTTTTTTTTTTTGCGGGGGGGGGGGGGGGGGGGTGAGCTAACAAAGTAAAATTCTATAGGGGCTACAAGGAAATACTACTAGTAAATATTCCGACCACTAGATAGAAGCTTCTCGTTGGGGTCCTTATCTTACTATTTAGGGGTCTACTTTAGTTACTTTCGTAAACTTTGTATAGGTAAACATACGGTCCCCGAAACCCTTCACCCCAATCCCCAAACCGTACATAAGTATCCTAAACTTGAAAGGATCTACGAGTCTAGGCCTCAGATTCTTGGAGCACAAAGCGTGCTTGTCGAACTTTGATCCTTTGGCCCTCTTGACCCACATGCTTACAACCTCAACTCCACCAGACCTAGGAGTAAACTAGGGAACAACAAGGGTGCCCTGTGCGGCTTAGAGGGGCTTCTAGGGGAGCATAAGAACCCTCGAACAAAGGGGAAGAAGGGGAATAAAAAGGGCGTCCTTTGTGGCTTGACGGGGAAGACTTACGAATCGTATTTCCCTTATGGTCCCTTTGTCAACGCCCCGATATACCCCAGCAAACCTAAAGCCTCCCGGAAACCCTAAACCCTAAACCCTAAACCCTCAACCCTCAACCCTAAACCCTAAACCCTAAACCCTAAACCCTCAACCTCCCCTCCCCTGCGTCTTTGTCTCCTCGCGATCTGGGCTCTCGGCATTTCTCGGGTGGTGCCGGGCCTGTAGATTCATGCGAGCGCCTGAAATGCTTCTCCAAGCGCGGAATTTGAAAACCCTAAACCCTAAACCCTAAACCCTAAACCCCAAACCCTAAACCCTAAACCCTAAACACACACCCCAAAACGACGGCAGCCAGCCACCGAGATGACGCGCCAGGCTCAGAAATCGGTACTTGCTTATTCTTTTGGAGCAGTCGTCGCACCAAGGGGTTCAGGGTTTAGGGTTTAGGGTTTAGGGTTTAGGGTTTGGGCACGGTGCGCAAAGGCTATGTCGCCGCAAGTCCAAACCCAAGGACATCCCTGATAAGGGTTTACGGTTTAGGGTGCAGGGTTTAGGGTTTTAAGGCTTATACTGCAACGGTACACGCTCCCCCCAGGGTTTAGGGTTTAGGGTTAGGGTTTAGGGTTTAGGGTTTAGGGTTTAGGGTTTAGGGTTTAGGGTTTAGGGTTTAGGGTTTAGGGTTTAGGGTTTAGGGTATGACCCCATTGATGTGCGAAGATCGGCGTGGAAGAAAAAACATGACTGTCCGGTTGTCCAGGGACCTTGGATCCAAGCCAGGGTTTAGGGTTTAGGGTTTAGGGTTTAGGGTTTAGGGTTTAGGGTTTAGGGTTTAGGGTTTCCTGTTCCTGGGAAGGGTTCCCTTAAACCCTAAACACTACATCCCAAACCCTAAATCCAGTTTCCGGAGTAAACTATGAACATAAGGGACCCCGAAACCCTAAACCCGCTCTCCCTAAATCCTAAACCCTAAACCCTAAACCCTAAACCCTAAACCGGTCCGCCCTGGGTCTCTGGGAGTAGCTAAAGGATGCCCGGAGAGGTTCTGGCTACTGGGGGTTCACCAGCGGCTTGGGGTTTAGGGCTACAACGGTTTAGGGTTTAGGGAAGGGTTTAGGGTTTAGGGTTCCAAGGGTTTAGGGCTACAAGAGTTTAGGGTGAAGGAAAGATAGAATCCTGGGGCCTAAATGTTTAAGCTTTCGCTTGGCACATGTACCTGAATCTTCGAGTCCCTCCGGTTAAGGCTCCACCGATCTAAACCCTAAACCCTAAACCCTAAACCCTAAACCCTAAACCCTAAACCCTAAACCCTAAACCCTTCACCCAAGCCCAAAAATGCCCGAAGCCTCTGAACCGAAACAAGTATGAAAAAGGCATTGGGTTTAGGCCCTAAACCCCCGACAATCCTTTTGCATCAGGGTAAACCCTAAACCCTAAACCCTGAACCCTAAACCCGAAACCCTAAACCCTAAACCTGCCCCCAAAAGACCTAAACCTGAAGCCATGCCGAAGTCGGTCCCAGGCCCAACGCGGTCGAGAGGAGATGCACAGATCCAAAGGACCAGAGAGACGCCCGGCTTCGGTTTAGGGTTTAGGGTTTAGGGTTTAGGGTTTAAGGTTTAGGGTTCAGGGTTCAGGGTTCAGGGTTTAGGGTTTAGGGTTCAGGGTTCAGGGTTCAGGGTTGAGGGTTGAGGGTTTAGGGCGTGATGAATTTGGGGTTCTTTTTGAGTGACGGAATTTCAGAGTGGGGTGATTTAGGATCCTTACAACCCAATGTCTTGGGAGATGTGCTTAGGTCCCGCCCTTGTACCAAGGGGAGTAACCCTAAACCCTAAACCCTAAACCCCAAACCCTAAACCCTAAACCCTGAACCCTAAACCCTAAACCCTGAGTTAGCGTAGTCGGTACAGGATCCCATGAGGACAGTTCAAAGGGGTTCAGGTTGCAGAGCTACCTTTGACACTGAGGCCTGCCAAGCCCGAGGCTTGAACCTGAACCCTAGGGTTTAGGGCTAGGGTTTAGGGTTTAGGGTTTAGGGTTTAGGGTCTAGAGGGTCACTGTTCTAGCATTCATTCCAGGCTCAGAAAAAAAACCCACCCGCCCAAAGAATCCCATAACATTAAGAAAATAAACGGTTGTCATCTTCCCAGAGTACCTACCCAACTCGGACACGTTTTCCACTGAACCTTCCACCGACGAACAATAGGGTCAGATTAGGGGAGGGGACGGGGTGAGGATAGGGGGTGAGAGGGGGGGAGAGAGGGGGGGGAGGGGAGGGGGGGGGGAGGGAGGGGGGGGAGGGGGGAGGGGGGGAAGGGGGGGGGAAGGGGGGGAGGGGGGGAGGGGGGGGAGGGGCCGAAATCGGCCGAACACTGGGGGGACCAGTGTTCGTGGCTTTTCGGCCAGGCCGAACACTGGGGGGACCAGTGTTCGTGGCTTTTCGGCCAGGCCGAAATCGGCCGAACACTGGGGGGACCAGTGTTCGTGGCTTTTCGGCCGTGGCCGAAATCGGCCGAACACTGGGGGGACCAGTGTTCGTGGCTTTTCGGCCAGGCCGAAATCGCCCGAACACTGGGGGGACCAGTGTTCGTGGCTTTTCGGCCAGGCCGAAATCGGCCGAACACTGGGGGGACCAGTGTTCGTGGCTTTTCGGCCGTGGCCGAAATCGGCCGAACACTGGGGGGACCAGTGTTCGTGGCTTTTCGGCCAGGCCGAAATCGGCCAAACACTGGGGGGACCAGTGTTCGTGGCTTTTCGGCCGTGGCCGAAATCGGCCGAACACTGGGGGGACCAGTGTTCGTGGCTTTTCGGCCGTGGCCGAAATCGGCCGAAGGTTTAAATATATATAAGAAAGAGAGGGTTTAGGGTTTAGGGTTTAGGGTTTAGGGTTTAGGGTTTAGGGTTTAGGGTTTAGGGTTTAGGGTTTAGGGTTTAGGGTTTAGGGTTTAGGGTTTAGGGCTAGGGTTTAGGGTTTAGGGTTTAGGGTTTAGGGTTTAGGGTTTAGGGTTTAGGGTTTAGGGTTTAGGGTTTCAGGGTTTAGGGTTGAGGGTGGCCCGAATACCCTTTAAAAAAACAAAAAACACTTTCTGTAGCCCTCGTCGTTCCAGCCGCTCGTCACTCTGAGCTCAAGTCAGTCCAAGATCCGTTCCAAGGGCTCCACGAGTTTGAGGGTCGATGGTACCCTAGGGTTTAGGGTTTAGGGCACTATAGGGCCTTTTAGGGCTCTTTGGGGGCTTATAGACCTTCGGCTCCCTTGTAGAGTTTAGGGTTTAGGGTTTAGGGTTTACGGAGGTTCTTTTAGCGTTGTCCAAGGTGTAATTAATTGAATCCCTAGTAAAACCTTAAATTAATAAACTAATTAAATTTGGGAAAAGCTGGCGGCTTTCACCTTTTCTCACTGCATAGACAGGTATGCTCAAGAGCGCTCTGTAAGCCAAATGTAGCGGATAAAATACAGTCAACATCTATGCCATCAATACACTCTCATTCATGTCCAGGCTATACATAGGTGAGATTGAGACTCAACCTTCTCTCTGGCATGAATGAGCGGAAAACCGCTGTGCGTCTTGACTCGATCGCACGAAACGTGCATGCGCTGCTTAGGAGTCGCATGACTGACACACACACCCTGAGGGTCGTGTAGATCATCCTAGTTGCTTCTCCGACTGCCTCTCGATTTGATACTGACAGGCTGTCAATACCTTGATGAGGAAGTCGGGGCGCATACTCTTCGTCAAGCAATCAGCGATCATGGTGGCCGTAGAGGTCCACACAACTTGGTCACCTGCACCGGGAAAGACCTCGGTACTGCGGGTGCCATCGTCTTCGAACAACGCCTGACGCAACGCGTTCAGTTCTATTTGGAGACGTTTGTCTTGGACACGTGAAGGGACCTCCACGTTGAGGTGCTCAGACAGACTACGACAGTCTGTGAGCATCATGTGCGGAACCGTCCTTCTGGATCGGTCGTACCAATCAGCTCCTGGACTGCCTTGTCCATACAATTCGGCCAACAGAGCTCGAATTCGGTCACCTGACTCTTGCGCACTCTGTAGCGCGTACGTCTCGGCTTGGAGAGTTGCTCTGCATACTCTCTTGATTGTCGTTGATCCAAAGCTGATCAAGGCAACATCGAATACGCAATTGCCTGGCGTGGTCAATTGCTTCCTTGGAACTAGGAAGTGAATACGTCCCTGCTGGGATCGTAAACCTGGCGCCCCGGCAAAACTGGCATCTGAGGCGGTTAAAACTCCCAGATCCATAAAGTCGAAAGGACCATTTTTGTACCGGATGCAGAAATCTTTTCCTGCAAGAGCAATTTCAAGACATTTGTTAGCCTCCTTAAGGATAGCTACGGTGGCTCCCTTAACCTTGGACTGCAAATACGAAACTTTGTACAGGATATCCGGCCTGCCTTGTCTGGCTATCCAGCTCAGACTACCCACTACGCTACGCAGTTGACGTTCTTCACCTTGCGTGATCGGGCCCGAAGATTGTCGGCCCTTCGCTATGTCGATATACGTAGTACGGCGTGTGTTATCGCTAACGTCGATAACTATGTCCTTGCCGGATTGGTCAAATTGCTTCCCGCAAAATCGGAGTCTCTTGATCTCCTTTCTGCCGATTTCGAACCTTTCTAAGAGTCGATTCATGATTTCATCACCAGTGGGGGTTGATGCCCAAAGAAAATCGTCGACATGAGTGGTAAGTAAGAGATCCACTTTACTACCCGTGGTGTGGTAGTAAAACGCGGGAAAAATGCGCGACGCATTAAGACCTACGTCTTTTGCGTCTTTGTCTACGCGCTTCCAAAACCCTCTCCCACTGTCTTGGAGTCCATAGACAGGAACGCGAACTAACAACATCGCTTCCGGGTCTACGCCCGGGAGTCCCCCTCGGGGTTGTCGCATCAGCACTATGCGATCTATTGGGAGAGCCTGGAAGTAGGCATTTTTGATATCGGAGCCCTGCACAGGTACTCCTTCTGACGCTGCGAATGCGCACACCATGGCGTGGGTTTCAATATCCGATGTGGGCGAATCGGTCCTCACTCCACACTCGCCTTCAAAGTTGCCACAAGCAACCATGCGGGACTTGAATTCTGGATCGAATGATTCCAGGTGCTGTTCGTGGATGTTTTTGACAGTGTCAACCCACTTAGAGGGCAATGGAACATGTCCCTCATCCAATAAGTCCTTTAGGATCTTACCGGTTACTGGAATCGCCGCTTGGAATGATTCATACTTCATCCATTCCTTCTTTCTAGATTCATCGATCTTGCGCTGGACAGCGGGTGAACAGTCATAGTAGTTGAGGCTGCCTGGAAGGGACTTGGCTTCTTCCTTTGAAATGTTTGCCGCGCGATTCGCCATAAAGGCTATGAACTTAGCCCGCGGTCGGGCTTGAGTCGCACTCAGCGCCGTGTTTTGGTCGCTGACAATTCTAGGTGGCGTCGCTTCCGCATCCCTTACGCGCTGGAAGTGCTGCCGCAGCTGCTCAGGCAAATCGTCCTGTACATCATACGACGGCCTCCGACTTCCACCTGGAGTCCTCTCTTGCTCAGGCTCGGCGATGCTAAGCCGACGAGACCTAGAACTCTGAGAGGTTCCTAAACCACTAGATCCTCTGATCCTTGGTCCATTCGAACTATTGGGACCTCGGTTCCTAACCCCAGGTGGTGATCTAGAGCGCGGGTGCTCCTCGTCTTCCTCTAGGATAGATGGCATGGGTCCATCACTGGGGCCCTCTTCAAGTGTCACATCTGGCGCTGGATCGTGATCCCCGGTTGGTGCTGGTTCACGATAGTCGTCGAACCCTTGTTGATCCTTAACAATTTCCTCAGGGATAATTGCATTCCCATGAAGGATATCAAAGGCCAAAGCCTCTGCGTCCGTTGCTGGTCGCAGGTTTTGCGCAGACGCCAAAACTGGAATGTTTTCGCAAAGCAACCAAACCGATTCCTTGCTACGCCCTTCAAAACCAATAACCCTAGACGCAGGAGACCACGATGTCTTCCCAGCCTTGGTGCGCCTAAAGGTTACTACGTCGCCCACCTGGTAATCTCCAGGAATCGCTCTCGCGTTGCGCAAAAGAGCGCGCTGAACTCGTTTAGAGGTGTCCAGCTGGACGAATGCTTTCTTCGCCTCAGCACGAACCATGTGTTGGAGCGCGAAAGCGGACTCGGGATCGAGAGAGTCCTGAATGGCTCCTAGATCTGCGTGCCCATCCTCACTAAGGATAGATGGTAGTTCACGCGGCGCTCGACCCAGCACCCATTGAGCTGGCGAGTAGCCTCCCTGTCTGAGTAGGCTGTTCTTTGTCAGGCAAGTCTCATCAAGTACTTGCTGCATTTCCAACCAACCCCGCGGTTGAGTTTGGCTGATGACCTTGCGGGCCATTCCTTTGATGATCCCGCCGTGTCTCTCCACTCGGCCTATGGCTTCGGGTGTTTCGAGCGGCGCGTGTGTAACATCCACTCCGTGCGCGGCCATGTACCTTGCTAGGACGCCGCGGTTGTGCAATCCGCGATCACATTTTAGTGCTTTGGGGTGACCAGCCCAAGTGATCCACCTCCTCTGTATGGCCTCGAGGCACTTTGCGCTTGACGCTTGACCGGGACCTTGTCGAACAATTTCGGCTAATTGGAAACATGTCCCTAAACAGATCATGTTTAGGACCTGAAACTTGGTTCCTGTAGCGTCTGTGACTTCTAGAAGGTCAATACCGAGAGTGTGATTGAAAACGTACTTTTCGGGCAACGACGTGCTGTGCGCGCTACGTCTTGGCGCGTTCTCCTCGCACTCATTGCAGCGCAACAAACGCAGTCCATCTAGATACTGCGGGTCGACCTTCGCTGCTCTGAGAAGGTTTAAGAGTACCTTTCTCGGCGCATGCCCGAATTGTCGATGCAAACGCCTGATGGCAACTCTCACGCGCTGGGGTAACTTCCTCCAGCCGGCTCGGCGTTCGGCCTCGCCTTTAGGCAAACCTGGCACCTGAACTTCGTCTAGTTCAAGGTCCTCTTGAATGGCCTCTTCTCCTGGGTCCATTCTTGCTACATCATCTTCGTTTTCAACGGAATCGAAGGTTGGAAACTCGCTATCATCAATCTCGCCATCGTCCCATACTGGGTACGATGTTGCCACAAGTGAAATTGCAGCATGGTCATTGGCATAATTGATCAACCAACCCAAAAAGTCACTAGAAAACAAATCCCAAAAACTCCTGGGTCCCATGGTTGGATAGCCTTCACCGGTCCATCCCTCAAATGCATCTGCTATTTCCGAATTATTGGACACATAGCTCACATCACCATGTCCTATGTCTGGGTACATGGGAACAGAGAAATACCCCCAACGTTCAGTGTCGGCAACGTCAGCTATCAGGTAGTCTGACCCTGAACACTCACAGTGGGCTATGACCTCGTCCACAACTTCACTATGATTGAGTCCCGGTTCCTGGTACTCAATAGCTACAACCACTAAACTGGGGCTAACCTCTTGAAGGGTCCTACGAATCCCTTCGGCCTCCCACGGCTTCATCGCGTCCAATCCGACGTCGATGACACGGATGCCGGACTCCTGAAAGGCACGAGGCTTCGAGGTAATTACTAGTGTGTGAGCAGGTCCCTTCACGGGTTCGGACACGGTGTTGCAAAGATATCTTAAGGCCTTATCATGGTCCCTAAGGGCTTGGAGACCTTGGTGCACGGTTCTCCTACGGGCCTTGGACAGGACTGCAAGGTTGCATGCTGGGGTGAAGTACTTGGCTCCAGTGGGAATACTGACACCCGACCCCGAACTCCCTGAAGAGGCAGAGGAGTCCGAGGAAACCGACCTAGTTCGCTTTCTACGGTCTGGTGCAGGAGGAGGCGTAGGTGGTTTACGGGCAATGTGGGCACTTGGCTCTTCACTATCTAAACTCTCCACAACTGGAAGTTGGGAACCCTGCAGCGGACAGTCCATGTACCCTCGGCGCGGTCGCACGTCTCTGTTTCTAGGGTCTCGGCTAGGATCCCTACTGTGGCCACGACTGTGCTGACGTGAGTAGTATCCTTTATCGCCCGTTCCGGGTCGATAGTTTGGATTGTACGTGCGCCTGCCTTCGGCACTGGCGCTGGGACGACGCAAACTTTGCCCATATGGCCTGGCCTCGCCTCTATAGGTCGAGACCCGAGGTAAGCCGCCGGTGTGGTCGGCCGCCCTCTGCTTCTGACTTCGGGCCAAAATGATGAAGCTGTCGCCGTCCCCCAGTTCTGCGGCATCGATGGTGAGCGCCGCGCGCATGTCCACATCCCTCTGGATTATGGAAAACGTGCGCTCCGCACCGCGGAACAGGAAGACGCTTTTGGTGAAGTCGTCTAAGGCGTTGTCCCACCGGTGCACAAACGAGTGGTCTTTGTGAGCCACCCAGAAACGGATGTTGTGCTTCAGGGTGCATTGCATCCCTTGCTCTTTGGTGGCCGGACCGATCCACCCGTTACTGTTGTACCTCGCCGGTTTCGTCCTCCTAAGGATGGACGCGACCTTTGTAAGATCGGGGAAGCTAAGGTTGGCTGCCCATGGCCTATTGTGGTCCAAGGGTCCTTCCATACCATCTACCACGGGGAGTGGCTCCACCGGTGTCTGCGTAGACCCTCCGCCGGCGCCAGGCTCGACGCACGCCTCGCCATCCCTAGGGGTATGACCTGGCGTTGACGCAGGTGTCTCCAACTCTCTGGCCTCACGCTCCTCCTCGTCGGGCTCCTCCTTGATGCTCGGTCCTGCTGACGTAGAGCGGGGGCCACTTCGACCAGGTCTCATGGATCCCGATCTCTCTCGGCCTCTGCGATCGTCTTTTGATCGATCGTCTCTGGATCGGCTCCTAGACTCGTCCTTGGAGTCATACGACTCAGAACGGGATCTAGGTCTCCGTTCGTATCGCTTGACCACCTCCAACTCCTTCTCGGCAGCGATGGCTCGAGAAAGCCAACTTTCGCCAGAACTCTTTGCCTCTCGAAGCTCAGTTTCAAGAGCAACCAGTCTGACTTGGAGGTGTTCATTTGCTGCTTCCTGCCGGATGCAGCGCTCTCTCCAGTACCCCACGTCATTCTCCATCTCTGCAGGCGGTGCCTTCGGAACGATAGACGTGGCAGATACTGCGGGAGCCTTGCTGGTAGTGGATGCCTTGCTGGAAGACGCCGTAGCGGTCGTCTCCGTCGTCGCTGTACCAACCACTGGCGTGTAGTCCAACCTTGCCGACACCCTTGAGCTCTCTTCCGACTTCACCTCTGGCGTGAGAGCCATCGCCGGCGGTGATGGTGGCGATGGAACTGTCGGAGATTTCGACGGCGGCGGCAACGGCGGTTGCCTTGGTGCCGCCGGCGGCGGCGGTGGTGCTGGCTTGTTGCTCGGTGGCCAAATAGGTCCACCTTGCATTGGCACCGGCAAAGACCCACTTACCCAGACACCTGGATGCAAGGCACTGGGGGCCTTTGCCCTAACAGGAGGCACCGAACCGGTTGCTCCTCCACGTTGGCCGGCATCTGCTCGGCCTGCTGGTGGCGCACTGCGCCCACGGTTCTGGTGACGATTCGCCTCGTCGAAGCCCTCGAGCGCATCCAAGAGGGAGTTGGCATGCTTCCCGAGGTTCACCAGACCAGGCTTGGAGAACTCACCGCAGTCGCTGCATCCACCTCCACACACCATGCCTTTCCAACTAGTGATGGCGTTCAGGTGAACGAGAAGATGGTCCTCGATCCCTTTTGCCAAAAGACACGCCGCTAGGGTCGTGCCAAAGGCAACTGACCTGTGCCGATTGCTGGTGCAAAATGCTACCAACGCAACTTTTTCGCCGCGTTTGTAGTGGTCTAACAGATCCACCAGGTTTTTTCGCAGCAAGCGTTGTCCTGCCTCGGCGTTGACCAGGCCCTTGATGATTTCTGGGTGCCTACCGATGTGGTCATTCCAAGCACCATTTGCAGGGTCGCTTAGATCCCTGAGGTCCTGGACGATCAGCGTGTAACCATCCCGGAACACCTGAGGTACTCGATCCGCCCAATGGATCGGATCCCTCGCCTTTTTCCCCCACCAGCCGTCTTCCTTGTTCATGTAGTACTTGATCCCGCAGGACAAGATGACTATCGGCGGTGGAGTTGTGAACGTTTTGGGGCGAACTTGGTCCCAGAGCATTCCACTTTCCAAGTACTCGTGGTAGTCGACCTCCCGTGGCACTGCCATGGCTTTGGATTGGCCCGAAAGGTCCAACCCAGTGCAAGCAGGATGGCCCGATGGGTCCAACCCGTCACAACTACCAACAAGCTCAGGGGGCGACTTACGCTGTGGAGTCTGTGAAGTCTGTGAAGGTTGAAGTTTGCATTCTCTTACACACTTCGGGAACTCATTTCCTCTAAGGGTAAATGATGACAGGTTGACTAGTAGTAAACCTGTATCCTTGCACCGAGCAAGACGAAGCTCGTGCTTCTCCCCGTCTGAATCAGTAAGCCAGCAGCAACAGGAGCGCATGTCCTTAACCAGGCCTAAAGTGCTCTGAGCAAACAGGCTTATCAAAAGAGGATTGTGGGCATCGGTGTCTACCTCATGGGAGTCCAGCACGCCCGCCAGGGTCCTACCTTGATCTCCCAGCTCAAGACAGAAAGGCAGCTTACGCTTACCCAGGGTCCTGGAGGTGGCACCTAGACCCGAAAAACTCTTAGGGTTGCTATCTAGCCAGGGAAATTGGAATCCGTAGGCCTTAAGGCGGGCTTCAGTCTGGATAGCCCAGGTCCTACTGTGGCACGTGGAATTACACCCTTCATCCAAAGCTCCCCACACATCAGGTTCATCGGGGCTCCAGAGGTCAACCATGGGTAAATTGTCTAGATGAACGATGTCAGTGGAGGCTGCGTGGGCATGCCTAGGACCACTAGACCCTTTACCACCCAGATTCCCGTGGCTCCTCTGCAAACTCGCCGTCACAGCGTCGCTCGGGTATCCACCTCGAGCTCGTGGTTGCTGTTCCTCTGTGGGCAGGACAGGAACTAAACCACTACTTGAGGAGGGTTCGGGATCTGGCTTGCTATCCCTTGAGGAAACCGAACTCTCGCTACTCCAAATCTCGGTTAAGGCCGCCCTACGGGTCGGGGTGCACTCGAGATAAGGATCGTAGGGGTCGTAATCAGGAAATGCTAGGGAATCATCGATAGCCTCGTCGGGGTCTATCTCGGGCAATTGGCCTAAACGGGTCCAACCTTGCTCCGGCCCTACAGGATCCGGAACTTGCGGTGACTCAGGACGAGCCTGCTCAAGGTCGTCCAACGTCAGGCTCAGGTTGATGCCTGTGGACGGTGCAGGTGCTGGGTCAGCCCATTGTGCTTCAAGAATGGCTATACCTAATCGGTCATGGCCCATAAGGAAAGCATCCTCCCAGGCTACACAATGATCCTGCCAATTAACACCTTTAACCAGTCTCTCCCATCTAGAAAGAACTCTTTCTTCCTTTGTAAGGTCCGTTGGGTCTATGATTCCAACATGGCCAACGCGGGACCAGGAATCCGGACTGTCACCAGTGGGCTCTAAGGCATCAACGATTGCCTCGCTAAGGCGACTGTGTAAAACAGACGGGGTGACGCGCATCCCCATCTCTATCATGGTGGTCACAGAGTCATTGAAGACACCCATGATGAGTTCCACATCGTCGTGCTCAAGGTCCCTTGACTCACCGGCAATCTGTGTGTTACTCATCACAGATAAAGAGTCTACAGTGGCATTGAGCATACGATTTGCCGCATCTCGACGTCGGCGCTGGAAGTCAGCCGGAACCTCATCTATAAACGTTCCGCATTGTTTGCAAAACGTGCGAGACACTGATCGCGACGAGCCACGTCGATCAATGATCTCGTGCGGGCATGTCTCTGGGTCGTTGGTGTATGAGACCTCTCTGGGTTCTCGCGTGACCTTTCCGCAGTCTCTACAGGTACTGCGCAGCCAGTTCATGGTAGATCCTGCGTGCGTAAAATCCTTGCATCCTTGGACGCAAGGCTCCAATGGTGGGTTCGGCGGTACCTTCTTTCCGCCCTTGTTCTTGACACGCGGTACATAGGTTCCTTCAGGGATACCTATGCTGGCTCGGGTGACAACCTCGTCGCCCTCGATCACATAGTAGCGATTGAACCAGGCTAAAAAGTCTTGGAGTTGGCGACTAGGGTTCACCTGAACCTGTGCCCATTGAACAACAGCTGGAAGCCGGGCAATCTCGTTGTAAGTCTTCCCCTTGTACTGACCAAGGTAAAACTTACGATCTCCGCCTTCCATTTCCATCGGAATAGGCATTGGCGCCGCTGACGCTACAGCTGCACTTCGGCTAGCTGCGCTTTTGCTTGCGGCAGCGCGAACGACAAAGCCAGAGTGGTCCTTGTCTGGCGCTTCCGAGGGAATGACCAGACCTTCCTCGCTGGATAGGACCGTTACGGCGACGTGTGCTGCCTTGCCTGCGGCCTTGCCTGCAGGGAACTTGCACTCAGGGTCACCAGCCCAATGGCCGATACCACCACATCTCATGCATCGCGACTTTGCCTTAAGGGCTTTGAGTTTGTCCCTTCTTTGCTCCAACGTAAGGTGACTTCGGACCACCTTACCCTTGCCCTTGCCTTTGCCCTTGGATCTGTTCTTGCCCTTGCCCTTGGCCTTGCCGAAGGCTGCGTTGGCTGCCAAGGACAACTGGATGGCGTGTCCTACCTCGGGAGAATCCTCGAGGAACTGCTCCATGGCGTTGAGGGCGATGGCCTCGTCCTCATCCAGCTCATATTCCTCGAACTCTTCTTCCTCGGCAGGGGGTTCTTCCTCCCAGCTCTCCTCAGCAACAAAGGCTTCTTGGGCAAAGTGAGAGTCCTCTTCTGGGTACTCCTCTTCCTGCTCTTACTCGCCTGCGTCTTCGTCGATCGCAGGGAAGGCCTTGCGGGTAAAACCTTTACGCTTAGACCTATTAGATCCGTAAGATCTAGGACCATAACCCTTGCCAGTGTTACGGTAAGGCTGGGGGTTGCTGCCTCCCAGCGCGCGGCCTTCGCGCAGATGAACACCTGTGTAGTGCTGCACCAAGGTGTTTGCTATCTGCTCGAACTTCTTCGGGTCGGCTGTGCAAGCCTTGACGACCAGGGCTTCTTGTCTAGATAGCCCAGAGAGCTCTAATAGTAGCTCTACGCGCATCGGCTCAGAGAGCTCGATGCTGGCATCCAGGGTTTTCAGGAGATTCCACCACCTCCGTCTACGGGAGATGTAACTCAGCATGCTTTCCCCTGCCTGCCTGGACAGGGTCCCTGGCCTCTGTCCCGCCCGGAACAACTCTCGGGCTTCCTCTGTCGCGCGGGGGAACACTACCTCCCGCATTCGTTCGATGAAGCTTCGAAGTCCCCCTGGAGCAGTTAGGGCATCTACACCGATGTCCCTCGCGAGTTCGAAGGCTTCGTCTCTGAGGCCTTCGAGAACACGGTGTACCATTTCTGTTCTTGCCTTCGTGCTCGAGGGGAGTCCTTCAAGGTACTCGAACGAAATGGGCTTCGCGGATTTGCCCGACTTCTTCGACCTCCGACTTCCCGCGCTGAGCTGGGAAAGCTTGTCGAAGTACTCGTCTGCTCCGCCTGGATGCAGACCTCCTTCTTCTTGAGGGCCTTCATGCTCCTCATCGGCTGTGTCCGCGGCCTCTGGCTCTCGGACGTTGTGGTCTGGGTCAACTTCTCCCTCCAGACCTGCTTCGGAGTCTCCTCGGGTACTCCTGGCTTGGGACGCTTTCGACCGAATAGCGTCTTCGTAGAGTTTCAGGCGCAGTTCCGTCCTGAACTTCCAGTCGTAGAACGTCGAGGGATCCCCATTGTAGATGTAGGACCCGGACTTCGTCTCGGCCATATGGCTCGAGCTTGCGCTGCCCCTAACATAGCGGAGACCTGCAACGGACATGCCGGAGGAAAAAGCTCAGGGGAGCAGTGGCGGCTCCGATGGGACGAAAGCACGGCCAAGGAAGGCCGGCAACCAAAGGGGTGCCACAGAGGGAAAGGCACAGGGCCAAGGTCAAACAGAGGAGTGTTTGAGAGAAAGAAAGGGAGTGCAAAGCAAGAGGGTCGAACTTGCGGGCTCGCCCAGGCCCGGACCAACACAGGCTAAAGCCACGCGTCGCAGGTGGCTATGCCTACCTGCTCCGCTACCAGTTTGGGAAAAGCTGGCGGCTTTCACCTTTTCTCACTGCATAGACAGGTATGCTCAAGAGCGCTCTGTAAGCCAAATGTAGCGGATAAAATACAGTCAACATCTATGCCATCAATACACTCTCATTCATGTCCAGGCTATACATAGGTGAGATTGAGATTAAATTTCATCCCAACCCAACACCCCTAAACCCTAAACCCTAAACCCTAAACCCTAAACCCTAAACCCTAAACCCTAAACCCTTAACCCTAAACCCTAAACCCTATAACCCAAATCCCGAAGCCCTAAACCCTGTCAACTTGAAACCCCAAACCCCAAACCCTCCAAAAGTGATGCATGGGACGAGGCCCAAAAAAACTTCGTCAGCGACTCTTCGGCTCTGAAGAAGAGTTTGGGTTTAGGGTTTAGGGTTTAGGGTTTCGGGTTTAGGGTTTCGGGTTTAGGGTTTACTCTGTGCTCGCTGAAGGGCAGCCCTATCAGAAAGCATAACATAAAGTTGAACATAGCAGACAAGAGCCGAACAACCTTAGCCCACCCCCCCCCCCCCCCCCCCCCCCCCAGAAAGGCGAGAAGGCCCAAATCAACAACTTTAAAGCCCTAAACCCTAAACCCTAAACCCTAAGCCCTAAACCCTCAGCGCTAAACCCTTCCCCATAAGCCGCCTAAGTATGGTAAAAGGTTCAGGGAATTCACTCCCTACTACACCCCTGAACCCTAAAACCTATTAACCCTAAACCCTAAACCATCACAGGAAGCATAGCAAAAAGTGAAACATAGCAGACAAAAAGCGGAACAACCTTAGCCCATCCCATCCCCCCCCCAAAAAAAATAACAAGGCAAGAAGGTCCTAGTCAACGACCCTAAACCCTAAACCCTAAACCCTAAACCCTAAACCCTAAACCCTAAACCCTAAACCCTACGTCGAGTCATGGAAGGTCGCTGGGCCCTTGGCTTGGATGTCTGTGCCAAGAGGGGCCGGGCCTTGAGCCTACAAAGAGGTTTAGGGTTTAGGGCTTAGGGTTTAGGGTTTAGGGTTTGGGGTTTAGGGTTTAGGGTTTAGGGCTTGAGGGTTCAAGGTTCAGGGTTTGGGGTTTAGGGTTTGGTGTTTGGGGGTTTAGACCGGGTTTAGGGTTTAGGGTTTAGGGTTTCGGATTCTCCGAGACTTGCTTGAAGCTGTGCACTCACAAGGTTCTTGAGGACGCCAGCTTCAGGGGTGTTGGAACCCTACACCTTATCAACCCTAGAAACCCCAAATGTGGGTTTAGGGTTTAGAATTTAGGGTTTAGGGTTTGGGATTTACGAACCCAATATAGTCACCCAAATAGTAGGATTCCCTGATTGCAATAAGGACCCCAATAATTAAGGTACCCCCCCCCCCCCCAAAAAAAAAAAAAAAAAAAAAAAAAACTTTCGGAAACCCCCAAATCCATCTCAAAACGCCGCATAGAAGGCCCAGCCCAGCCAGATCCGTGTCAGCTATGCGTCCTTCGTATGTACATGCGCGGGCGATGTCACATCACGCTTTCCGGTCGAGCTTCTCGCACGCCCTCGCAGCACAGTAGCCCAAGCCCCGTGCTCATGAAACCCATGCTCATGAAACCCCAGTTCAATCGATTAGGGTTTAGGGTTTAGGGTTTGGGGTTTAAACCCCAGTTCAATCGTGCTTCAGCAACCCTGTTGGAACCCTCTTGCAAAAGGCTCCGCACTTCGCAAGGGTCGAACAGCACCCACCCCTAAACCCTAAACCCTCAACCCTCAACCCTAGACCCTAAACCCAAGTTTAATCTAAGGGTAGTTCTTTGGACCCTGAAAATGGTCCCTTACCTCCCTTAACGGTTTCTGAAGTATGTGCCCTTGGGCTGTATTCGGGTATATGAGCGGTATGTAAGGGGCCCCCTTGTCAAGGCCCACACCAAGGACCTCTGTAACCACACCGAAGTCAAGGTTTAAGGGGCTGAAAGCTTAGGGTTTAGGGTTTAGGGGTGCATAAAGGGACCCCTTTTAAAAGGCCCATATTGAGGGCCCAGGGAACTACCCGAAGATTTGGGCTCAAGGTGTAAGGGGCTGAGGGCTTAGGGCTGCAAGAGGTGTGCTGGAAAGCCGTCTGGAGCAGAACAGCCCAGCAAGCTGGCCGAAGACTGAAGAATCCTAAACCCTAAACCCTAGACCCTAAACCCTCAACCCTGCCCCCAAGAAGTCGGCCTTTAGGGGTTTTCAGTTTGGGCTCGATTGTGTTTAAGCAGATGATGCAGAGCTTTGCAGAGCTTGAAAGACTCCAGGCCTTCAGGTTTGTAGGCTTTTACGCAAGGGTTTAGGGTTTAGGGTTTAGGGTTCAGGGTCAAGAGTTCAGGTGTATAAGGGCCACTCCCTTCGCTCCCGATTTTTTGACAAACCCTAAAGCTCCCTCCACCCCCCGGCAAAAAAAAAAAAAATGAACCCCAAACCATTGTGCAACAAGCTTGGAAGGCCCAAGCCCTGAAACCCTAAACCCTAAACCCTAGACCCTAAACCCTAAACCCTAAACCCTACACCCTAAACCCACCCTAAACCCTAAACCCTACACCCTAAACCTACACCCTTAAAGGCCCTCGGACCAGCCTATAAAGAGCTGACCACAGCTTAATTTGCCAGAAATGCAGGCAGGCCACCGGCACCGCGGAGTGGTCCAGGGTTAGGGTTTAGGGTTTAGGGTTTACCTGGACTAACCTTGGGCCTGTTTTTTTAGGCCATGACTTTGAGGGTTGTTGATTTCGCACATTTCACAGAAAGAGGGTCAAACCCGGGCCTCTACATGAAAAAAACGCACATGATGGGAGTGCTCTGTCTTCAAAGATAGGTCGGCTGCCCTTTATATAAGCCCGCCCCCAAACAAAGAACCCATGAGCAAGGTACATCCGCAGAAGCCTGCGCTAAACCCTTTCCCACTAACCCTTGCAAACATGCCTCAGGAATTCAAAGACCAAGTGCCCTTGACCAACCTAGATCCTGAGAAGCCTTTCTCAAAACCCTTTCCCAACAGCCGGTGTAAACTTCCTGAAACAAAGCCCAACAAAGAACCCTTGAACCCTTCGGAAGCTACATCCTCAGAAGCCTTTCTCACAGCAATGGTTCTGCATCTGCCGGCTTCCCCGCCGTGGAACTGATCAGCCGCTTGGGCAAAAGTATAAGGAAGGGGATGCTTTCAATACACTTAATTTGTTAGGCTTCAGCTTCAGAGCGATGATCTCCTCAAGCAGCCCCTTCTTCCATCACGAAGTTCATTCGAACTAAAAAACGGTCTATCGTGCGCCGGTTCGTTACAAGCGGATGCACGTGGCGTGAAATTTTGCATATCTTTCCTATGTAATCTTCATCGCCCTCACAGTTGGCTAGGGCCGGCGATGAAATGTACTGGTTCTGAGGATTGGACAGGGCCTTCTTGAGGTCGACGTAAAAGTGGTGAAAGTAGTGCAAGGACGGCACCAGGGTGTATCTCGAAAGCCTGCGGTTGTGACACAGTGTGGCCAGCGAAGTGTAGGCTTCACAAAACTGAAACGCGCCCTCAGCCATGTCATGTGCCACAACTCTGGAAAGCCAAAGGCCATTGTTGTGCATCAAGCGAAAGAACTTTACTGCACCAGCCGCCGCAGCAGCTATGTGTTGGAACAGCTCCGAATGCCATTCCTCCAAGGGGTTCTGAATCATGCTTCCCTTGCGCTCCCCTTCCATGTAGGGACCGTTGTGCATCAGAAAACCCAACCACCTGGTTAGCAGCATAACATCGCTGCCCTTTGGTCGCATGTAAGGAAAAGAAGAGGTCCGGGCATAGTGCAGGTTCGTGCGTGTAAAATGCTTCAAGTGAGGAACCACTCTGCCTGAGCATTCGCGGACATAGTTGAGGAAGTCAGCATACGAACGTTCCATGACCTGATCAAAACTGTTCTGAGTTGCTTCCCAATAGCCCAGCTCGGCCACAAGGACGATAGAGCTTGCCACATAGTAGCCTCCAAGGGCCTGCTTGAAAACATGAAACGGGTCACGCCTGTACACAGCTTCTGGAATCCCTGGCACACCAGGGACCTCAGCCAAAGGACCAGCAGTGCACCAGGGCCTTTCAGCATACATTGTTGCTTCATACAACGGGGCACGGCGACAATCCTCGAAGGGAACAGCAGGCGCCCCCGCCATACACTCCCAGCAGATTGCATTCCCAAGACATTGGAAGTTCCTTGTGAAGTTGCCAGCTTTGGCAAGCGCTGGAGCATCGCCTTTCACAGCAACCAAGCAAAAATAAAACCTCCTTCCATCGCGAAGCCTCACCCCGTTCTCAAGTAAGTCAGTGCATTCTTGACGTAGCTGATCAAGCACAGCCCCATAAACATTTTTGTTTCGCTTGGTGTACGAAGCCTTCGGCAGGACTGTGTAGAGCATGCGGGTCCGATAAGTGGAACCTCTAGCATTGTGAAACTGGTTGCGACGCATTATTTCACCGATTTTTTCATCACTGAGGCCCTCCTGCCAGCTGAAGTTGAACTCCTCCATGAAGTTCGGCGCCGTCTCTGCACCAAAGATTGTTTGAGCATGTACCACTAGAACAGCCGACTTGCGCAACCCTCGACCTTCGTCCAAGTGAACTGCAAAGGGGACCACCCGGTGCAGCCGAGACCCATGTAGGTCGAACACTGCGTGCCCAGCTCTATCCACTGCGAAAGATCGCCAGAATTCACGTAGACACACACCTGCAAAGTGGTCGTGAATGTCAAACCCACCAATCAGGAGGCCCCCATTCTTCACATTGAGCAAGTAGCGGAACCATGTAGCCAGCGAAATATAGTGCACATGGAGAGCCTGGCAAAGAATTGAGCTCACGTTCAAGGGGAGCATCATTTTCACGTCCCGAAGCAACCGTAGGATGTCCCTCTCCGAATTGTTCAGATTAGAGCTTCTCGCAAAGCGCTGCAACGCTTCTGGCTGCAGGTGCTCTGGAAGCTCCTGCAGAGCTGCTTGGGCGTGCCGGCGAAGCTCCGTTGCTGGAGCCTGGGAGAGTGCGTAGGGTATAGGGTTTCTGGGAACCCGGTTGGCGTCGGTTTGGTTTAGTTACTAGTATATACTTCCTGGGTACACGTTATCGGTTCTCAATTCTGCAATTCGGAACAATGGGCTTCGGATAGCATCGTGTGTTTTCAAGGGTGTGCTGAGTTCAGAACCCCAGAAGCCAGCGCATCGGCCAAAGACCGCATGACAGCTCCGACACG